TAGCTGATATAAACGTAAGATGAAATGAAAATATTTCTAGGAGTTGAGCTGACTTTACTCACCTTCAATATCATGTAAGGACAAAAGTTTTCACAATACAGAAAACATGTTCATTCATTTTCACACAGCTCATTCATAAGACGAGTAAATTCACACAGCAAATGTTTATTTCATAAAATAATATTTCCATAATGTTAGCCGACAAGAGAATAGTGTTCAGTGAATCTATTGTAAGTGAAAGTTTGAAGTTTTCGACTGGTTATCTGACCCAAATAACCAGAGTAAAATATCTCAAATAAAAACTGAGTGAAACAATTTATTTAACCTGACGTTTACGAAAAGAATAAATATGTGGTGCCAATAGAAAGCAAGATATCCACTCAAAACACCAGTAACTAAATAATATTCCTTCCGATAGTAGCAGCGATACTAACCACCTTAGAGTTCGTAGTGATGGGTCACCAGAGAGTAATCAGTATTGTGTCTACTCCTTTAGTTCTCAATAATAATAAGGATGAATAAATATGATCATATTTGTGAAAAATTCCTATCGTGATATAGTTCTCTGTTGATTGCAGTAGTTTGATTTGAGAATATTCGAGCATGACGATGACAATTGAGTTTTTAAACTGAATAAACATAGGTTTCGTTTGTCAGGCTTTTGATTGACTTCAAGGTCAAGGGTGTAAACTGATGAAGCATCCGAAACACGTATCCAGAGTTCCGTGGTTCTCACTGGCTCTCTAAAACAGTGTTGGTTCGTAACGAAATCTACCCTAACGCAGTATATTAAACCCTATTTGTATGCTAAAATCCGATATTAGTTAAGAGCTTCCTTATAAACGTTTAAGCGTAAACTGCTCTATTAAAACGATAAGTAAATGAAGTGAATAAGAATGTTTCAGGATTTAATCACGAGCTGATATCGGTTAGAGGACTATTGGAGAACTTGGGAGTATTGGACAGCTGTTTCGTCGTAGTTTGGGACTCTTCACGGTACGAACCCACTGCGGTCCGAACGCAGAACTTTCTGGTTACAAGACCAGCTCCTAGACCATTAAGCCACTGGAACCCTATCCAATGGTCCATGAATTTCAACTTCTACCGAAGTCAGTTCATGATGAAAGCCTGGAACCAATCAAATCCCTGCAAACCAATACTTGAATAATTAAGTGTTTTAAAAAATCAAGTGTAACGTATTACAAACAGCCACAATAACACAAATATAAAGCTATTTCCCTGTCAAACACTTAATATGAATCACAGGAAATATGACGCAATAATTATCCTCAAAATTAATTATGTTCAACGACTAAATCGCCCATCATAAATGACGTCTGTATAATGTGAACTGTGAAGAGATTGAATGAATCGAAAATGTAATCATTCAAATATTAATTGTGCTACACTAAAGGGTTATGAAAGATTTACGTTAGATGAATTGGTTAACACTTCTCGTCATTGGCAGGGTAGTTAACATTTCTCGTAATGATCTGTAATACGCTTGTTCAGCACAGTTTGATACTAACATGATTCTCTTAAACCTCTAACATTAAGTACACTTTACGCTTGATAATCGGTTATTTCACTTTTCTATCATGAGAAATAACTGTGGTGGGTAATGAATGGCATAGTGAAGTACATACACCCCCACGAAACTGCATTAATAGGTAGAAGACATATACTAATTGGAAAAGAATTTTAAGCTTTCGAAGCACGACTGACTAGTCAGTGTTTTGCTACACTTTCAGTTATAAACTGAGCTGTCAGTCGAACGACTCAATCCTAGTATTGTGTATAGATAGTATGTGTGTTAGCATACAACAGATGCTAAGTCATACATTACGATATTCATTGCAAAAGTTTGCGTTAGTCAGTATGCAGCTGTTTGTTACAACTGATTTCGAACTGATAAACACCGACGGAAACCTAGAGGCCTACCGATGAAAAGAAGGAAATATTACAGCCAAGCCTTTTGACTGGTATCGTGTGCGTATTTTTTTTCATCAGTAGACAGTGTTGAATGACTTTTCATTTCCTTAATTTTTGTAATAAATATCATCATTTGTCAGCTGTTTGTGGAGACTTTGACTGCTTTAAATGGGCTAGAAGATGCTTCAATGTATCACAAATTCATGGGAAGCAGTATACCTGAGACTGCTATGGTATGAATTAAAACTGTTTTGTCAAAGTCATTACATCATTTTGCCTAGTGTCTATATTTTCGCCATTTAGAGGCTGGAAATAGAACTTATCTTGATGACACTATACGAATTCGAGAATTTTCTTTTTATTATTGAACTTCAAATAAAAATTCCTTCACTAACCACTAGCCAGAAACTTTATCAAATGGTAACTCTGAAACACATTCAATGTAAGTGGCTTCTGGAATGATATTCTTCTCAGTAGTTTACATAAGAAATCCCAATGAGAAATTGGACTTAGAAACAAATCATGTGCGTAGTATTTTCTTCTTGATGATGGATACTTATTAAAGAACAAATAGAAGCTCACTTCAGAAATCTTTACGCAAAGCCAGGAGATACAACACAATCACGATATGAGGACGTTGAGGATTTGATGATTACGAGACCCTGTTAAGGCTTAAGAGTTGCTACGACCAAAGCGCAATGAACGTATTGGATCAGAAGTCACCAACTATTCTTGCTAGGAAACATAGAAGAAAACTAACAATATTAATGAAATAATCGTATGAAACACTCAAACCTGTTAGTACAATAGTGAAAAGGAAATACAGGTATTCTAAATAGTTTGTAACTTAAACCATCCATGCTAGGACATATGTTGTGCATGCCAAGTCACCAATTTCCTCAACGAGCAATGTTAGCCGACATGGAATTATGTTAGAAAAGAGTTAAAGATGGTCAAACCTCAACCTAACGTGAATCCCCGAAGTCTTCCACACAGCTGGTGTGAGGCGTATAGGAAGGTGTAGGCTGGTTAGGGACCTCGGGTTGATGACTGGAGACTATTAGCAGAAATGGACCAAAATCGTTCTCAATGGCTCAGATGCATGAACTCTTTGTGATCACCTATATGCATTAATCCCTCATGTTTTTCAATGTTACTGGTCTTTCTCACTCACATTTCTGCTTATTGAAGTTCTTATGACTCTCTTTTCTCTCTCTCTCACTCTTTTGGCTAAATTTGTATGCTACACGGAGTATTCTAACTTGAACTGCTACACTTTTGTGCTAATTCCTATGTTGATACTCAGTCAATCATCCAACACTGAGTCTAATTCCCCACGCTATACAACAAAAAGGCAATTAACAACATTGTCGCAAGATAGTCATAAAAGTGTGAAAGACTAAATCTAATTCATAAATAATGCTAATTTATATTGGAAAGGGAACTAATAGAATTATCAGTGCCACAGGTGGAAAAAGTAATTACTTATGTAGTGGGCTGATAAACGGTGATATAGAAATCAGTATTTCGGCGTTTCTATTGCAAGTGCTTCTTTAAGGAGTTAATGATTAACGTGCACTTCGTTTAAAATAGACTTCTACGCAGTCTGATGATAATGATGCACAGGAGTGCGTCAGTTCAGGTTATATAAGCACAAAACAAAGAAACGCAACAAACATATAAGATGAAGTAATCTACAAAATGATGAATCTGTTTGGAACTTCAACAATCAACAGTGAGCATATCTACACCATCGTGAACAATTAACACCCACTTCATCATATCTCCAACCGCTGATTCTTAGCATCCTTAGGAACCCAATCACAAAACCCACACATCTTGTCAAAGTTCAGATCAACAGTTTGTGACTTCAAGTGTTAGTGTCATGTTCTAGTCTGACCAACCCCAACTCTTTCATAAACCAATTCCACTTCAACAAGAAGATGCCTTCATATGTAATAAATCAGAAGAATATCTGTTGTTGCCGTGCAGATGGAAATGATTTTGAGAAAACATGGAAGAAGTTTAACATACATTCTGGTTGTACCTAAGGCTTAAAAATAATAAAATAACATAGTCTTACTGATGAGGACAATAGACGAAACAGTCACTCGGTGTATAATATATACAGTCAAATCAATTGGTAACCATATTCCTTTTCTGAGCATCGTCCAATCGTAATGCGGATAAAATCTGTCAAAGTAGTTGAGTCCACTAGGCAGGAACTTTTCATTCAGATGATAACCTCCATAATAATCCCAACAAAATCCTAAGTCTACTCAAAAGAGTTGAATATCCATAAAGTTCCCAGAACACATTCGAATTCAGCAACAACAAAAAACACGTGTCCCTGAGAACACACAGTTTACGGATAACTGAGAATCTTTAGAATATTAGAGGCAGGAAAGTTGTTATTCATTTTTCAGTCGATGAATGCTGAATTCGCGACAGCACAATTCCCCTCCTGTCTACAATCACAAATTGAACTGCTTCTGTGGAACTAGATACTTTGTTGGAGATTTTCTACTACGGATAGACAAAAGCTACGCAAAGCATAACACTGGTGCATCTTTTTTTGTTATGAAACATTAAGCTAATAAAGCCTTTGAGGTTATTTTCAATACTCCACATTACTACTAATATCACTTTTTCATCAATTTCGCTATTCCTCCTCCACATTGACTGTTCTGAAGTAATTAAACATAATTGACAGATCAGGATTAATTCCTTTTTTTAAAAATATCTATTGTGAAATAACCTACTACTAACTTTACAAAAACAATCATTCCAAATATTAGAATTCTTCATTTTGTAGTTGCTGTTACCCCCTCTTCACCCTGATCACAAGTTCGATTCAATAACTTCTTGCTAATTAACCCACTGCTATATGACTATAAGTTAGCCAACTGAGGGAGGTGGGTACGAATTTTGCGATGACTCAACGTATGATCACAACTTCCGTTACAACTTAATACGTATTTTAAAAGGTGTATTCTGAAGTAACTTTGTGCTCCATATAACAGTTACTTATATGCTTCAAACAGAGTCTATGCAGTACGTTTAAAGGACAGTGTTTAATTTTGTATATAACATGTTCAATGACATAGAATTATATACTTAGGAAGGAACCACCTCCCTTGATAATACTAGTCACAAAGGTACTTTAACAGTTGACGAGATAATCTTTAATAAGACTATAACGAATGCAACACAAACAAAAACACTCAGTTAACCTTTTTACATCAACACCAAACCTGACTATCACAGACAGACTGAAAAACATGATAAAACCAAAGCCATAAGTGTATTCAAATCATAAACATTCACTGCATACAAAACAGTCAAGGGAGTTATGATAAGAAGCAGGAAAATATCATTCTGTTTGTTTCTTTTTGGATTTCTTCTTGCGTTTCTTCTTTGCATCAGTTGAATCTGGTGTATTACACTGTAAATTTACAGATTCATCATCACCAGCATCCTTGTTTCCGACTGGTGAATCATTCTTATCCGCTACAGCATCTTCCATTGGTTGCATAACAACAGGAAGTTGGTCAGGTACGGCTTTTTCAAAGTTACAGTTTGTAGTAGTTACAAAAGTAAGTGAACCAAGTTTATCTTCAAGTTTTTTCTGAACTTCAGATATTTGAGAGATAACCTTGACAATACTTTTTTCTGTAGCCCCAGTTAAATCATTTATCTTTTCATTCAGCTCATTCAATGAATCTGCGTCTCGAAATGTCAAAGACTGATCTGGCACAGTCATTGATACATCATTGCTAACAGGTACCTTATCTTCATGACCTTTGAACGGTATAAAGCTTTGATATCCTATAAAAAGAAATAAAACAGATTTTATTGAAACAGACAATCCTATCAGACGGGCATAATATCTATCGATGAAATAAACAGGAATAAGTGCTTACAAAAGAAGATACAATGTTTAAAAAGAATTAAAAGTATACCTTTGACAACGATGTGTAAAAGCAGACGAGATATAGCGAACACAAGAAATAACATAATCTGAGGAAAAGAAGTGTTCTCAGACTTAGTTAATAAGACGCAGACTGCTACAATGATACTGTGTCATCATTTACTGGATAAAGAATTTGCATGGCTCTATGGAAATCACACTACAACATTTGAGGAAAGGGAACTACGAGTATAAACAATATATCTGTGACATAACTGAGACCATATACACTGAATAAATATATGAAAAGGCATGATCAACTAGAAAATAAAAGTAGAACAGACTTCAAGATCTTCGTTTGAAATACCGCTGGGAGCAGTCACCATGTGAGATACAAAAGCTGCAAAAATACTTAAAGCCATTAATTTGGCTTCTAATAACAGTGAAATTACACAACTGACAGACAGCTTTTCTATAACCTATCCTTTAAGTTCGATAAAAGCAATGTATACCTGAAAAGGACCAATATTCAACATCAGAAAATTATTTTGCTAAGAGTGATAGCACTTGACGCGTTAGTTCAACTGTTTAACATTCTGTGTAATCATATGAGAATGAAGATTTTCGGCTTTCTGTCGACTGTTATCAACACCTGATGCCAAAACAGAAGTCTACTGTGTTATACCTTAATGCCTTTTTATTTATCTCAGTTATCACATTGAGTATATGGTTGAGGCATTCTGATTGTAATAATTAAAAAGCAAAACTGATTACACTCAAGGAATCCATTCTTGTACCCTAAAATTAACTGATATTTAGTCATTAAAGTAACTTCTAGTGAACTCGGTTTAACCTGATGTCCTGAAGAAAAGGGAATAGAGGACTCATTTTGTTACATTTATTATTATTGACCACCTAGTAACTTTAACCCTATGCGATGATGCTACATGTCAAGTTATCCACAATGTAAACTCAGCAAAGTGTTTGAACTGAAGACACGAGTAAGACAAGGCTGTCTTCTATCACCAATGATATTCCTGATCATCGTGGACTGGATCATGCGGAATACCACAAGCAGCGAGAAGACAGGAACACGTTGAACCCATAAGAAGACACTAGATCTGAACCTAAAGGACGATTTACGTCTAATGGTCACATAAACTCGAAGATCTACAGACGAAACCAACAAACTGGCAGAAGAGGCTGGCAGAGAAGACAGAAGTGATAAAGATAATCAACCAAGAACAACAACGACAACAAGCACCAATCACTATCAATGGGAGACATTTGAAGGAGATCACTTCCTCTACTTATCTAGTATGCATCGTTTCAGTCACAAAAGGAAGAAATGAGGATGTCAAAATCACAATCGGAAAGGTGAGGACGATTTTTATAACTCTGAAACCTGTGTGGAAATCTTCTGCACTCAACATAAAGAAAAGAATTCGGATTTCAATGCCAATGTTGAGTCATTTCCTCATTATGTGTGAGAGACCTGGTGCGTCACGAAAAGCATTTCCAACAGATTGTAGACTTTCAACAATAAGAAGTAAATTTAATATAACAAGAACTCAGTTCTTATTCTCTTTCCGAGTACTTGTTAACGAGTGTTTTCATACGATTCATACAAACACTTGGAATGAGTGGCAAGTCAGAAATACGTTGGATGAGATCATATACATAAAGTACCAAAGTCAAATGAACTATGTAAATGGAGATGAAAATACTTCAACATCTCGGGACAGCATTTACTTAATACATCATAACTAAAATACGCACAAACTATTTCATATTTTTTTAACGCAGTTGGATAGCTATACCCAAGAAAAAGAAGTAATTCAAGGCTTAATCAACTTTGTTCAATAATGAAATGACGTGAATCAAAACGTTTTGAACAAAAAGAATTTATCGCAACTCCACCTAAGAATTAGATTTAGAGCATTTTCTGGAAGATGGAATCATTAAGGAAACATCAGGACAGTGCTGCCGAGTTCAGCCATGCAAGGTTAACTTTAACGATAACAAATTATGAATGTGTTATTAGAATCTTTTCAAATACAATAATGAATCGCACGACAAGCCCCTGGTATTACATTCTTACGATTGCTCATGCAAGACATTCTTCCAGTAATCCTATGTACTATAGTCCAACAGATAAAAATGACAATATGAAAGAAAGTAGAATGCAGCAGACACATTAAAAAACAAGCCTTATAGAGAATACTAAGTCAGAAATCCTTTCAGCTTTGCCAGGACCTCATCAAACGTATTACCTTAATGTTTTGAAGTTTTGATTTATTGAGTAATACCTTATTCTCGTAATTACTATAATTTGCATGCTGACCAACGTATTATGGATACATCTATCTTCAGGTACGGATATCAAAATACAAGACCTTGGCATCAATGCGAAACAGCACAAGTTAGCACATTTTACATAAAATCGAAGATGATGTCAGCGAAGAAAAAGAAATATAAATATTGGGAGAAAAATGAACGTACAACCACTCACCAGTCAATGAATTCATGAGTTCCACTATATCACAGGTTAAGATATATTCTGAGTAGATATGTATAACACACCTCCCAATCGTCTAAATGCATAGAGGTTCACAATCTTAGCTTTTTATCTGATAATCTTCACTCTCTGTATTCCCTCATATGGTGGTCTCAATACATGTCAGTATTCAGTGTTGGTTTGCAGGGATTTGATTGGTTTTAGAATTTCATCATGAACTGACATCGGTTAGAGAACCATTGGAAAACCAGTGGGGTACAGCAGGTCGGGTGTGAAGACAAATACTCGCCAGAGATGACATTAGCTAGTGGCCGCGCAGAAGTTGAAATTCATGGACCATTGCATCGGGTCACAGTGGTTTAATGGTCTACGCGTTGGCCTTGTAACCACAAGGTTCTGGTTTCGAACCGTGACAGTGGGTGTAATGATGAAGAGTTCCAAAACTAGGACGAAACAGCTGTCCAGTACTCCCAGGTTCTCCAATGGTCTTCTAACCGATGTCAGTTCATGATGAAATCCATGTCAGTATTGTTATGTAAACAATAGCCATTAAATATATCTAGAGAGTATAAGTTCTTCACCTGCAGTACCAAAAGTTCATAGAAACACTAATTAAGCTTTTCAGTTAGGTGAAATGATAAACGTATTCAGCCATCTCATTTTCAATTAGTAGACTGTGTCAATTCACTAGGTCACACTCACCATTTACAAGTTACAAAAAAATACATATGATATCCAGAACGCAAACTGTCACGTCACCATCCTTTATAATCTACTAATCCTCTTTTAGACAAAAGTTAATGAATCTCACTGAACTAAAATTAGTTTAAGAAAAATAACCTATAAAATCAGAAAATAGAAAACGGAATTATAAACTAATCGAATTGCTACAATCCTGTTCTTCACAAAGTACGGTTCAGATGATTGAGTGAGACTGATACTGTTTCAAAAACAATATCAAGAAAACTAAATGCCCATATGCACAACGGGTAACCACACGAAACTAATATTGTTGAACTTCACAAACTACTTATTACTATGATCAGTAGTAGGGGAGAACAACATAAAAACTAAGGTGGAAAACACACAACTGGTAAAACTTCAAAATCAAACCTTTTGGAACTTCTAAAAAATCTTAATTCATCTTTAATCTTTTACTTTTATGCCAGTTATTATAATCTGCACGGAAAAAGTCGGTATAATAATTTACGCGCCTTATTCAGCCAAACAATACTCAAAATGAAAAACTCAATAACAACAGGCAATTTTAACAATTAGAATTCATTTCAGAATCTGTAAATTACACAGTTTGAGAAGAGAAATCATAACAGTTTCCTTTGGAAAGCTAAAAGAATCATTTAGATCACAATATGTTACCTGCTTGGTACCATAAACACCAATCAAGGATTATGGCTATGGAGTGTAAGTAGTTCCCCAGCTAGTCATCTAGATCAACCAGTAATATGCAGTTTAAGGCTATTTAAGAAACTGGTTGCATGTGACCTAATGATATGATTAACAACCCGTGATCAACGAGCTAAAACTCTGTTATTACTTTTTGACATTCTCATAATTTAAAAGATTACAGTTAGTAATTACTATCTGACGTAAAATATTCTCACAAAAGGTGATTTATTTTCAAGCATAAAAATAAATCTCATGTAACCATAAGCCAAAAACATGATAAACAAGCTAGTCTAGGTTTTAAAACATCTATTTGATATAGAATTATCTTGAAACAAACGTGAATAACATGCACTATGGAGAGCTACATGCATATTTTATACCTAAACTATTACTGTGTTTTGTATATTGCTAATGCTACAACACAACATGGTAGCTTATTCAACAGCGACTGAATACCAATATTTATTTTATCTGTTTTAATAGGTATTCATTCACTGGATGAGAAGAAAGCGTCGAAACATGCAAAACCACAAAAAGTAGAACAAAGCGAACAAAAAGGAAGTGGTATGCAGATGCAGTAAATTAATCTTTTAATTAACCTGCCAACATTATTTTCAAAAGTCATTTTCAATAAAAAAACTAACTTTTAGGCATCAATGGTTTCAGAACATCAGGCACAATAATTCCATGCTCAGTTTGATAATTTTCTAGAATTGCGCAAATCACCCGAGTGGTTGCACACATTGTTGCATTGAGCATATGCACATATTCAACCTTAGAACAAAACAAATTAATCATCAGATTCGAATAAAACATGGAAGATATTTCAGTTAAATTCTTTAATTATGAAATCAGAAATAAAAATAAACACTTGCAAAAGCTTATTGTAAGGCGATGTTGCATTTTATCCTTAAGAAGTTATTCTGATTTAGAAGTTATGTGTTAATAATAATTCGCAAGAAGCATTTTTTCACAGAGAGTAATAAAGTAACCAGAATACTTCACATTAATGTGGAGCGAATTATTCATCATAATATACAGTCGACGTAATTACACTCTAACACTGTTTTACTTAGATAATGTGTTTGTTTGTTTTTGTTGACAAAGTAAAAAACTTAAATCCATAAAGTACGGAAAATTTTGGCATAATAATCAAACTGAACTGTTATTTTTTTCAGTTAAAGAAAGAAAAACCGAATAGAGGCAGTACTGAGACAAACAGTGAAATGTTAACCGATGCAAAATGACTACTTCATCGACTATCATACTTTGTAATAGAAGTAGTTTTAAATCATGACACAACAAAAGACTAAGTTAGTCAAAGCTGACAGAAACAAGGAATAAGAAGTAGAAGTAATGCCAAGGAAGCAGAGAAATATGTGACTAGACTGACTTCAGTAACAAGATTTACCCGAAGTTAGTTAATCAGTTTACACCACTTAGGTTATAAGCATACCAATTGATTTTATGAGACAGATGTACCCTGGAGGTAGTTTATCCCTCTACGAAAAAAGCCAACAGCTGACGATTACGCTGTCTGATCACTATGAATATTCCTTTAACCTACTTGTATTACAAATGCTTTCAGCACAAACGTCTAAAATCTATGGATTAAATTGTCACGAAACTCTTGGTTAGTAACTACAACCAAAATTCATATGATAATTGTTATCGGTTGATATTTAGAAGGACAATGAAAGCTTTGCAATTAAACCGCTCCCCCCCCCCACCGCTTAGAGAACACAACCATATTAGGAAAAGTTATCAGTTGAATTTGAACTGTCAAATATGAGTTGGAACATTTTTTGTCCATTATTATTAGGACAGAGAGGAAAAATATGATGAGCCAGTGTTTTCTACGCGATCTGTAAACCAAAAAATCAACCCTAACCTAGATGACTAAAGGCCTCTTCATTTGACTCTTTACTGGTACATGCTAAACGGTCAAAACACAGTTTTAATATCATAAGCTAGTAATTTATGGGTCATATGAAACAACTATGATTTCTAGTCACATTACCTCTTTCATGAAGGAGCAAATCTCTACTTCCCCAATCTATCTTTTGTATCTTCTCATTGTGGGGATTTGCTTCCGAGTGTATTGTCGTGTGTTGAAGTATCAGTTAGAACAAACCAAATATAATATTATCTCAAATCACTATAATTATCATTCATGACAAACTCGCGATAATGTTAAAAGAAGCAAAAAGTTAATGTATAACACATTCAATGACAGAATACTCACACTTTGGTTCATCTTCTTTGTCTGACCAAAACGAATTGATAGCCGACGAGACTGGTAGTCCAAACAATTACTGCAAGATACAAGCTCTCTGAATGCACCAGAACCAGGAAACCAACCTTCTAAATCATACTTCATGGCGGCTGCATTATTAAGTTCACCAGATACAATTGAAACGATTCGATAAGGTAATTTTAAGGCCTACCAAAAACATGTTGATAAACAAAAAAATTGGGTTCACAGGTGAAGCAAAGCGTTTACTTTTAAATTTCAATACAGACTGGAACGACAACAACTTGCTTGTTGACAGAATTATGATTATTATTACTAATTATAAACAAGACTAAGAAATACAAACAACTGTTTACATGAATATTCAGTAAACCCAAAAGATTACACGTGATATTTTATGTTTAATTTTTTATGCATTTTGTGCTAGTTTCTATATTGAGTCAGTAGTTAGTCTTTTAGTTTACTATTGGTTTAATCATTTTCTTAATTTGTTTGCAGAGGCCTCTGTTGTTGTCATTCTTCGAAAGAAAAAGTAAGCAGTAGGAAAAAGCTTCATTGCTTTTATTTATCTTGGCACTTACAGTGTAGACGACACCCATTGGATTCACAATATGCTGTCCCACTGATTCAAGTCAAGCAGACATTGAGAAAGTAGCATGAGATCACACTACTACACTCTCTCGTTATCTTAACGGCAGAACACATCCCTTAGACTATCGGATTGGTATAACTTACAAACGGCAACAAGGATGAGTGAACATAGGCAATAATACAACCAAGATATTTTTTAGTGACAGGTCGACAGAAAGTGACATATTATTATAAATTATTTAAATCACAGGTAAAATCATAGTCAGTTACCACAGTTCCTGAGATTATAATAATACCATGTAATAAAGTGCAACAGTACACAAAAATTTGATATGCAAAACAATGCACTTACTTGATAAAAATCTTCAGCATTAGAAATCATATGATTGAACATTTCCCATGATAAATTGTCGTGTGGACTAGTTATGCAAAACTGCTCCACCTATAAGCAAAAAATAACAACAATATAGGATTTCACATAAGTGGTGTAATAAAAACCAATGTATTGAAACCCGTCAACGGATAGCTGGTCTGAGTTCCGCCCCACTTACCTCGGCCTAGACACAATGAGTGTGTCGCTTACATCCTAGCAAATGAAAAATTCGCTTCAAGCAACTAATTGCTATATCTTTATTATTATTATAATTTAAGCATCTTTAATGAACTGCAATAGCATTGACCATACTTTACAAATCGATATTATTTAAAAAAACGCTAATATTGTTATTAACTACTAATTTAAAATATTCTGTGTATATAAACATATATATAATTGTAGAGCCTGGAAGAGGAATTTATCGAAAAGAATATTCTTTGCTCGATTATTTTGTGTTTTATAATTGTAAACAGACTGTTGGAAAACAAACAGTGACCAAAAATACTTCCGCATCAACCAACGAAACATTACAAATACACAGCAGTTCAAGTAGTCATAAGTCCGAAAACTCTTAATAACGCCTGTATATCCTGAAACTAAACTCAAAACGTAATCATAATCATGCACGAAGACCTTTAATACAATCAGCTTACTTTTTCGAACTGATGAACACGAAATATTCCACGAGTGTCACGACCATGACTACCCACTTCTTGTCGGAAACAAGTTGAAATTCCAGCATACTTAATTGGCAATTCATTAACAGGCAACCATTCATCCTGATGAAATGCAGCAATAGGTTGTTCGGAAGTTGCAATTAAATATTTCTCTTCTTCATCATTTCCATTTGTTTGTGAATTATGATCAACCGTAGCATTGGGGTCACGACGACCAGTAACCTATAATGCATTAAAAATAATCTCATGTGTCATTAGATCGTAATATTAGTGCTTAGATAGTGCGTACTCTGAATGGAAAACAATGTTGATATATCTTTAAATAAACCACTTCATCTCTTATCTTAGAACTTCGGGGCGACGTAGACTGGTAGTATCATCTTACATTTGACAATGAATCATATCCCATAAGTTCATAAGGCCCTGCATTTTGAAAACACCTTCAACTACAAGGACAATATTATCTGCATACTCTAAATCAACTAGGTTGTTCCCTGGTAATAATTTAATCGTTTAGTCACTAAAGTCGACCACGGTCACGTCCATTTGTATATCTATGATGAAATTAAACAAAAATGGAGACACTGGGCATTCCTGAAGAACACTGCTGGTATTAACCTACAACATGCAATTTTGACTTTTGATTACAACCTATAGTTTATTTGTAAATTAACCTCCATTTATTAGTACGATAGTTTTCCCAAAAAGCATAATAAAATCCAGTAACTTACCTTGTATAGTTCTTCATCAAATTGGCTTAGTTGTGCAACTGCTTTCATAGCTTCTTTGCGCATGAAAAAAGGAGTGTACAGTGGCGTGAAACCACGCTCTTCTAGCATACGCAAGGCCAAGTTTATAATGGCTTGCTCCAAAAACACAAGAGGCCCCTAGACAATGAGGTTAAATAAAATGTATACACTAAAAAACTGCACTTGAATTGTCTAAAAAATGTTGATCCATAAACACAAATATAATGAAAAAAGAACTACTTTGAAGGCAAAATGTGTACCACAATAAGAAGGTTGGACAGGAATCCGTTGCTCAAGAAAATAATGAATCACTACGTTTCTCCATTTCTGTAACGCTCATAATAAAGTCTACAACTAAAGTCTGAGTCCTAATATGAATAAAATGTTATTTTTCCCCTAACCATCATTGCTTTGCAACAAACCCAACTGCCAAAATAAGACTATTTTAGACAGTATAACTAATAGATCTAGGCTTCAAAATTCTAGGAATAACGTAAGTGTCAAAAACATCGATTCAGAAACTGCTATCAAAAATATCAAACGGCGATTTGACAACGAGAATCTTCACAAGTTGCGTCTTCATTTCAGAAGACTGTCGGTTCATCAAAATGAATAACGTAATTCAGTTACGTGATGTTTACCTGTCACATTGGAAACTACAGTGTTTAATCTGTTGTTCACACTCAAGTATATAAAATCAGAGTGAGTCGGTGACTCAATAGTTATTAGGTAAGTACCAAAATCAGTAAGCTAGAGTTTTAATTACGAACTCGCTTTGTTTCAGCGTCACGCGTTATATGCAAGATAATTAACGAATTGAAATAACAGTATACTTAGGTACGTTTCTATAGTCTTTTTAAGAAAAGTATCAAACGTTTTTAAATAATTTGCAATTCAAACTAACTCAGTAGAATATGTGCCTATATTTTCCAGAAAACTCATTCTTGAGATTTGACTGGATCCATTTATCTTGCAAAATACAGATAATCCTCGAAAGTTTCGTGAGCCACCACTTTCTCCAGTTCACCAAACAAGTAAGTAGTTAACAAGTTCTGTATACAACGTGTTTTAAATTATCGTGCAGAAATCAGTAGCTGTTTCACCAAACACCAGTCGACTTCTATTTGTACAGAGACTTAAAACAACAAAATTGCCAGTATCTAATGTTTTTCCAATCTTCCTAACTTCCTCGGCTAATACATTTTTGTTCTTTGCTTAAACATTAACTGGTCTAAACTTTTCTAACACGTAATGTTTGTCGGAACGCCCATAAACACGAATTCAGAAACGGTCTAAGAGATTCATCCTTACTGATCATATACTATTGAAGAACTAAAATTAATTTGCAATTCTTCCCTTGAAAATAACTCGTCTTCTGATAATTTACTACACGGCATAAATAAACAGTCCTAGAAATATCGTAAGAATTGACTGATAACGGGCGTCAAATAGAGATGCATACTAATCTCAATAGAATCAACTGATAAGCATATACTTCCATCACAATATATCTTTAAAATAATTAAAATATTAGCGGTAAAAACTTGTGAAAAATATAGCAATGCGCCACTATTGGTGAGGGAAACGGCCATTAACCTTAAGAAAATAACCACGTCCGCCAGCTATTGCACTCCCCCGTTCACCATCGAAGCCATCCACCATGACCACCAAATCTACGTGAGAAAATGGCTTACGAAAGTCACTTGTTCCGTAGGTTCGAATAATTAAGTTGTCTTCCTGAACAAAACGAAAACATATAAACATTTGTATTTAAAATGCACAGACGCGCAACAGTCTAACTGGAACCAGTATAAATAAAATAACACAAAACAAGTCTACATGCGACATTGTGGGAACAGTTAAAATACAACTGTTTGAACGCCGGATGATACAACAGAAGGTTGGTGGTCAATCATATTCTTAAACGCAATTCGTTTAACCTCAGCCTAAGCAATGTGCGCTCAATCCTTCAAATAATGTCTTGAGGTCATCAGCTGTTGTAATACGTATGACAGGTCTGTCTGAACAGACAGCGGTCTTAACTGCCCCATCTCATTTCTACCACCGAAAAAGGTAATGAGTTGTTTACTCAGCAGTGGCGACTTATGACCGAATTCCCAATATGCTTCAGAAAATTAGCAATTTAGCTATGCTGTTTTGTGGGATCGGTACCAGAATTGCCATAAGATGGTTGTTAGCCGGTCCACTACGTAGACGAAACTGCATCTCTAAGCAGGTCATGTTGTCGGTCTTTGGCTGTTGTTTCCTGGGTTCTGCGGTCACACAACAATAAGGCTTTTTATTTTCCAGGTGCTCCAATAAGTAATCTACTCCCACGGTGTGGAAGGTCGAGAAGTAGCAACCGCCCAAACACTTCCATAAGCCTAAGAAGTTTTTCTGTTGACAACCCAACCAATTTATCTGTTACGCGATTCCTTCATTTTTAGGCCACATATACGTTGTACACAGTTTTCAAAACTACAGTGGCAAAAACAGAATGAAGCTTTCAGAGTTAAACTGGGCTACAGACTTTGCTAGCCAAAAACGTCCGAAATCTCAGGTTTCGGATACATGTTGCATCTCAAATATAAACATGATGCAAGCGCGGCTATTCATCTAACCCCAACTGGCTAACATGGTATATCATCAAAATTCTTTGCTTTTGTATCCTTTACAGGTGTGACAACTTTGGACCGATTCGCTTATTTAGCTCCCACGTTGATACATCAGTCAGCCAGCGAATCACAATAAAAAGTAGTGCACACAAGACAAGTAAACAACTAGTCAAAATTTAAAATAACCAATATTTAAGCAAAATGAGCACAAAACCTGAGATTAAGCTTCGTAAAATAAATAAGATCATGTACCCAATTAATTTTCATTGTGTGCATTGTAACGCAACTTCTTAGTCCCAGGAAAACCCAGCCCTTTACTTATATTAGACGCGATTAAAGGCGAATATATTTATATACACTTGTAGTATCCGTAAGAATACTTTTGTATTTCACTACAGTGAATTTCGAAATATATCTGTAAGAATGAATAACATAAAAAACCAACTTGTGTATGACTCTGTTAAACAACACCCTCACCAACTGAGGGTACAAACAAAGGGAATGTGCTTCATATTCTTCTCTCCATAACCTAGGATGCGAATTCCTTACTTTTCAACGACCGAAAATGAACAAAGCAAACTTCAAGACCTTGGTTACATTTGAGAATTCCTTTTACTACCCTCTACTGCTTGCTGCTTTATATATAAACCTCTGTTGCTTGAAACATAGACTTCTAGTATTTTCTACATTTTAAAGTTATGACTACATGTCACACACCAAATAATAATAAATGAATAATATTGATGAAGTTTGGTCACTGATTCATGTCAGAGAACCAGCGAAAGCCGTGATCAACCAAACAAATCCTTACAGACTAACCCTTTAAAATATTTGTGAAGTTTACAAATCACAATTGTAGGTGATGGAATTTTGGAAAATAATTCAGGCTATTTAGAACTTAACGAAAAAAGACAATCTAGTAAGAAAAAGCTAACCACGAGGAAAAGCTGCTGCTTTCTTTAAATCAGTTTGTTTTTCAGGATCTTAGGATTATAATATTAAAATAGCTAGCTAACAGTGGATCACACATAGAAATAATACAATTTTGAGTGGCACGGGAATGAGATGACCAAGGGCATGAGGAAAAGTTTACATATCAACACCTCATACTACCCAAAGTATTTTGTAATGAAGAATGTAATAAGTGAATAAAAATTAACATACCGAATATAAAAACAAAGATTACTCACTTCGTCATTGCTTACTGGAACATCTGGATGTAAGAGATTACCAATTTCATACAAATGCTGTTGTCTTATAGATTCAAATTCAGTAACCGAAGATCCATTGGATTTTATTTCCTCGGCGACGAGGTTAGATAGAGCCTTTAGTTGTGATACACTTAGAGGCTAAGACATTAGAACGAACAGCCATGATACCTGCAAGTCACCTTCAACTAATGAATCCAGGCGACAACATAGCCCATCGTATATAGCAGAATCACAATCAACGTTGCTTCCATTTTCCTAATGATTAAACTAGTCCTCATTAGTCTTACCTTCATTCGTTTAGCAATGATTTTACTACAAAGATTCTTTGCCTTGTTTAAGTGGTCAGCCCTAAAACGTGCTGAAAAATTAGGATATAAGCTATCAGCAAACACCTTTCCGCCAATTTTCATCGGCTTCAAGTACCAAGTCGACACGCTTTGTGCCTCTGTATCGTTTGGTTTCATTTGCACGTATGAGTTCTGGATCACCTCCTTTATCAGTTCTGAAAAGATCCAAGTCAAGCACCATGGTCGTAACGCCTAGTACAAACACAGCGCGCGTCAATCAGTATTCAGTGACTTTGACAGATACCATCCTTAACGATTAGTAGGAGACTTCACCATGCGCAACATACTCCAGTGAAATTTCTTATATCCTGTTGAAGGTGCTACTGTGAAAACAAGACTGCACACAACAATGGGTTAGGTCCCAAGCTTTCAGATTTTCGCATAGAATGTGTGATGAAAAGCAGTCACCCGCAAACGTATTAGTACTGCCCCCTTCAGAACGCATCTTGACCTCTATTTCACCTTATACAGCAACTACGAGCAATGTGTGTGTCATTTTAATGTTACCACATGTATACTATTCTACAATTAATGTGTGAAAAGAATTGAAAAGGCTTACGACACACCTGTGATTTCATGCTGTCCTGAAAGACAGAAATCCATAGGGAAGGTTATTATAGGAACAACCCATGCAAGTACAAGTGGCCAACACTGACTAACAGAGACTTGATTGCACACACATACTTGATTGTCACATAACTGACAATCATATCCTTTCCAATGACAGCCCACGAAAACAAATGAGCAGTAGACCGGAAGACAAGTATGTTATGATTTCATCACTTCCATTAACTTGGGTTTATGAGTACCAGCTGTTAGTCACTGATGTACCCCTGCCCCAAACTTCTCGCTGAGTTCCTGACCTGGCTAATAGAAACAAAAGATATACTGGGTCAAACAGAATATGTAGTCAAACCAAACATTGGAAATAGTAACTAAAGACAAGGATATAAAATATAGCATGACACTGATATTTGAGAGAACAGCACCTACCAGTATTACTGCTGCTGGTGATTATCCCAAACTGAATTTTCAGCCGTTCATTCTTGGGGTTCGTTGTTTTACCTACGCACCAAAAATAGTATTGGTAACTTAGCTATGGACGGCTTAGGAGTACTACTACTGCTCATGTCCTTCTCCCTTCTTTAATATCTTCTCTATGTGTTCGTGTTGCTATATACACAAATAGAATGACAAAAGATTTCCATTCCCCCCAGCTCTCGGGGAATAGCACTCCTTGTCATATATTTTCTGATTCGTACTGAAGTGACTGTATTTTTAGGGATAAGAATTCCCTATAGGCTAACTACTAGAAATAATCAGGGACATTGATTTCTCACTTTAGAACACCTCTGATCCAGCTGCACGGAAATAGCAAAACCGAATTAGATAAATATGAAACAGATCTATCTGCCAATATCCACTTTCGTTACAAAAGTGGCTTTGCCTTCCATTAACTCTGCTAACCTGCAGCAGTTCCACATAGACGAAAGGCCATGAATCCTGGAAAAGGTTTTGGATGAGGCTTTTATTACTTCCTGACTATGTACCTAAAATCTTCTTGCCTAATTTTATCTTTAACGAAAATCTTCGTTGAAAGCCTTTTCTGAGCTGTGAACACCGAAGAATAAATTCACGAGTCCTCTGAAAGGGTGGCTCACTGCCAACCACAGCCTCGAGTACGAACCGTGAAATGAACTCAATTAAAACAGGCATGTACATCAAGCTAAACATTACGCTATGGTTGATAAAGTTAGTAAAACCAGTGAGGCTAAAAATAATTACCCCATGTCGGTCAATTTGTTAAACCCTACTAGTGAGTTTTAAAGAAGGGCTATGGATACTCGGGATTTGTAGGAACAAAACTGTGTTATCTGCATTGTATCGTGTGTATTCATGCTATTTTACGATGCCATTTAGCTACATAAATCTTTCGATAGGCTTAAGTTTGATATTTGTTTCTGATTAGCTGATATCACCAAGGGAAAATTGACCTCGAAGGTGGAGCAGGCCAGATGAAGGAATTTATGGTGAGTTATACTTATAGCTTGGTGTGTCTCAACCATGCTGTGTGGAGTCCTTTTATCACTAGGTTACAAATGGGAAGTATAATCCACTCGCATATCACCAGTGAACAAAATGAAATTAGTACTAATGAGAACAGAGGAGGAAAGACCAGATTTCCATTGACACAAATAACATTTAAATTTGAAGTCCTTTACAAGGTGACCGTTAAAGGCAGATATTCACAAGAAGTGTGTTATCGCACCATTTGAGTATAGCTCCAGACCGGCAAAATATCTTTTGAAGAAGGCATGACTTTTAACACTTAAAAAAACAACGTGCAAGGGGAAATGAAGAATATATGCTGGCAATTATTACTCTTATTCGGTGTGAGTGATGATAGTTTATCAGTAAGAATAAGGCGTTTTCAGACATCGATAAAAAGACCCAAGATGGTCGTCAGCCTGTCCTCACCACCTGTTTTCAGCAAAGAAAATGGAATTCCAAGAAGACCAGCATTATTTGAGTTTCTGAGTGCTCCACAGTTCGAGAAATATCATGTGACGTGAAGGCGATATTACCCAGAAAGTGGCCCTGTGGTATCACAGCACCGACATCACTTGTTCTGTCCTTATTTATCAAAAAACTGATGAAGAAAGGGCTAAATAAATCACAAATCTCACAGGGGGTATTATAAAGCATGCTATCAACTGTAAACAGTTTCGGGACACTCAGCCCACCTATATCAGTTGGCGATTTCACTGGTCTTACCGAGTTCACTGGGTAACTAGTTTTAGGTAGAAACGTTACTCTTTAACGACCTTGGACGTCAGACTCGGCTAAGATTTACCATGACAGTTTCTAAATGTAAAAAGCTATGATGCGATACGCAGTACGTTCAACGTTCGCGTTACATTTTTGCGTGATTCGTTACATAAAATTTATCTTGTTGTAATCCTTCCATACCTGTAACCCTTAACTCTCAAATTAAATATTTATGGTTAATCAAAGTAAAAAGCAACGAACTCAATCCCCTGTAAATCTGGTGACTAATTTTACGTCTTTGATTGCTACATCAAGCAACAGACTCCCTACAAACGGTTATAGTGAGCCAAATAACTCACTTGTATGTCGTAAGCGTCAAGCTGAAACTGAGGATAAAACTGTACTGACAGCTAGTATTAGCACTACTCCCAAAAATTCAGTACCCTCTGCTCATACAGAAACCCTCCCCACACCTTATGTGCTTATCGAAAAACTCCAGCCTTCAAGCTCTGTTTCAGTACTATCTTCAGAAATAGAACTTCTAAAGTTGTCTATAGAGAACTTAAGGCCGAGTTAAGAGATATGAAAAACAATAAGTCAGTAAATCCTAGAATTTCTGAAACCAATACCAAAATATCCAAATTATCAGATCAGATCAGCGATATCAGATCGCAGGTCTGTGAACTGACACCTTTACCTATTCTCATGAAAACTGTAGACCTTAACAAACTTGACACAGAATCGGTATCTAAGGTGGATAACCTCATTAACTTTGTTACTACAGAAGTAACAAAACGACTCGACGCTAAACTAAATGCTATTGTCTACAACGTTCCGGACAATGAGGCACTAAAAAGGGTACAGCGCATCTTACTTAGTGAGGCGAAAATGCCCAACTCCAAGACTAAGTGCTACAGGCTGAAGAAGAGTCAACATGAAAAGTGTTGTCCTATTCGTTTTCAGTTCGAAACACCGGCATAGGCCAGAAAATTCATCCACTTTCAACACACCCTATCGCAAGCCAGAAATTACAAACTAATGAAGGTTGCAGTGGACAAGACAGTCATAGAAAGGCGCGTATATAATCATCTCACTGAGTCTAATTGTGGAATAAACAATAGGACATTGCAAGCAGCAATTATACCCAACCCTATGAGATATACCGTAGAATCCACCGCACCACCCCTCTCAAACCACACAGAATTATCCTCTCAGAGAGAGACACCAACCGAAAGGCCACTAAATTGTAATCAAATGGCTAATAAAACCATACCACCTATCACCGCAGATATAGACATGTCACTAAATAATCCCAGAAAAAAAGTCAAAATCCCCCGAAAGTCGACCCTGTCCTCTCCTGTTCATAAGTCCATTGGTAAAAAAAGGAGAATATGACCCCAAATCATGCCAACAACAACAATGGCAGTATAAAAAGCCCACACTCCCCACGGTCAATAGTATTGGCACCCACAACGTGCGAAATAGCACCATGGCCCACACTGATAACCAACGCCACAACAATGCCACCCTCAGTAGTACAAGTGGTAATAGTCAGAACTCGACCACCAACAACTCCAGGTGTTCACAGTGTGGCACGCAAATAAATTTTGATCGGATATATGGTAAAAGTCTGCTGGGAACTAACCAACAAAGCAGTACACACGAAACCCATACAAGGACACAACTAGTACCTAACAATAGGTGGAATAATAAACCATGGTCTTCACAAGGTCCCAATCATTTTTTATCCCCTGCGTCCCTGTCAGCGTTGAAAAAACAGCTGGTAGGGATGTTAACACTCCTAAACCGCTAGTGATGGCTCCCCCTTTGCATGAATATAGGAACAGTCTAGTGCATCCGCATCCATTAAGCACACTTGATACATGCACAAGTTTAGGTCAAATAAAGATCCCTACCCACGTTTCTAGCTTAACTAAAAATAAAAATGCCTTAGCCTATAGCAAATCCAGTACTCCAATGCTTAATTCTTCACCGAAAACAGCACACTTCAACCCGATAGACATAGATGAGCGTGATGTTGAAACTCCTCTTAACATAGGGTCGTCATGTCAAACAGTACTACTGGGTGCTGAACCATACTCGGGGCTGATTAACGAACTTAAATACCTCAAATGCTATTTCAAATCTCATCTTTACCTGATCCTCATAAATGCTAGATCTGTTCTAAATAAACTACCGATGCTCAGAACACTCACAGTAATATACAAACCCCCTATAATTGTCATCACTGAATCTTGGTGTAATTCGAACATACTGGATGAGGAGATAAGCTTAGATAACTACACACACTTCCAGTGTGACAGGGAAGGTGGTAAGGGAGGGGGTTGTCTCATGCACTTTCTGAATGCACTTACTGTATCACAGCTAGAAAGTAGTACACTTAACATGCCTGAGACTTTATGGGTTAACTTACACTTAAATAACGCAATAGTATTAATTGGATGCACCTACAGAGCACCTGGCACCTTTAGTAATTACGAGACCCAACTTATTAATACTCTAGAACAATTATCCACCCTACACTACGATCATAAGATCCTATGTGGAGACTTTAACTTACCAGAAATCAACTGGGAAATACCCACAGGCCCAACTAAACTTGATAAGTTCTTAGGCACACTGGATATACTTGGCTGGAAGCAGACTGTCACAACCCCTACAAGAGGTAATAACGTACTAGACTTAATCTTCTGCCACAATATAAGTCCCCTTTCTACCCTAATAGGTTCTGAGTTTTCAGGGAGTGACCACAAAACAGTGCTGTGTGCACTGCCACTTCCGTCAAGTAGCAATGCAGCCCATACCCCTACTTCACAACAAATAACTTACAGGAACTACAGTAAGGCAGACTGGACTCTAGTAAAATCAATGCTAAGATCCTCAGAATGGAGAGAGTACTTCTATACTGATAGCCTCTCGAAAGCTCTAGACATCTTTTACTATAACTCCAACACATGCTTAGATGCTGTCATCCCACTTCAAACACTAAAGTTTTCCCCACATTGAAAGTCATTCATAAAGCCAAAGGATCGTAGGAAACTGAAAAGACTGTCAACAAGTTACTTCAGACGACACGACTTTAGTACACTAGGGTCAATACTTAGTACTCTTAGCTCCATCTCGCAAGCTCATAACTTGCGTATGAGAAATGAAGAATGCACCGCACTAGCCAGCACCACCAGAGTAGGTGCTCTCACAGAAATCCTAAAGAAACGAATGAATCGCCAAAGCCATAAAATTTCTCTCCTTATAAACAAGGGTGAACTATACAGCAACCATGCAGACATGTGTGAACTGTTTAACGAGACGTTTGCAGCTAACTACCTTAAGCCCACAAGTCCACTTCTCGGTTTACAATCTACAATGGAACTCCCTTCTTCTTCAGCAGTGAAACAAATCAGTACAGTTCATTTCACTTATTCTAATATTAACCAAGCTATTAATACTCTTAAAAGCTATAGTAGTGCTGGTATTGACGGTATACCATCGTATTTTTACAAACACGGTGGTTCTGACATTTCCTTTTTATTACTTAAGATCTTTACAATGTCCCTAGAAAGCCAAACCTAACAAGATAAATGGAAAACTACATTTATAATACCCAAACACAAATCCGGATCGAAAACTGAAGTCAACAACTATAGGCCAATCAATATTACACCCATCTTTATATAGAGTTCCTGATCTCGGTAAGTTTATTAGTTTGGAGTATCTAGAATTATTGAAAGAATAGTTAAAGGTGATATTCTCAAACGTATGCTCAGCTGCAATATTGTAAGTCCCAACCAACATGGATTCCTAAAATCCAGATCATGCATGACCTGTCACCTTGACTTCTTCAACTATATAACTAGCAGCCGAGACAAAACAACTAGTACTAGTCATCTACTTCGACATATCCAAAGCCTCCAACCGCGTTGACCATTCGCTTCTAATAAATAAGCTGAACTCCTTAGGAATACGTAACCCATTATTAGGATGGATTGAATCATTCCTTAACAATAGGTCCAAAGTAGTTAGACTGGGGTCTGTGAACTCTAAACCTAGTCCAGTCACTTCTGGAGTAGTTCAAGGTAGCGTCTTAGGCCCCCTCCTATTCACTCTATATATCAACGACATATGCAGTTGTTTCTCGCTTGGCAAACCGTTCATCTTTCCAGGTTTTATCTCCGCATTAATAGGGGCTTTTTGAAACTTGTGCAGATGAGCCAAACAAAGATTTCTTTCAAACAAGGCATGTACAAAATGTTTTGAGAGATAGAATTGACATTCTTAACTTTTAACATAAACTGTACAATATCATCCTTCCTCTCTATACAATCTTGAAGGAATGCTATCGAGGATGAAAAATCGAAGCGTTGGTTTGTAGTACGGCCTCCACTTTCACAAGGGATGTGGCGCCTACTATCCGACCTATATGCATTTCAAGTAAGCTTCGCGTCCGATGCGTTCAAAGTACACCATGCTTCCGTAATCATGGTGCAAGATTGTCTAGATAGCTGACACGTTGAAGATAAAGTTCAGAGAACAGAGTTCTAATCTAAATATGCATCGAGTTATTTAAAGAAGTAGATGGGGCCTAGCTTAGATAGCCTTCACTTGAAGCTGTGGTGTTGTGTATTTTATCTGACACCATGTTGGTTGATTCATCATTAGCCGAGGTGTGTGCAGCTGCAGTTTAGTAATAGCAGCATCATATGAAGTGTCACATTATAAATTCATATGCGAAATAGCAGTGTCAAGACACGTAGCTTACTAGAGGTCTCTTTCGACTTTAAATTAGTGTGTCTGGACGTACCTGGGGCGACAGTGATGTTGACGAGGCTACAATGTTTTGACAAGACGAGAATGACTCTTAAGTCATTACCATGTCAGAATAAGAACGTTGATTCCTTATCACTGATCCTTAATGTATTGTGGTATCATGAGATCCTAGTTGTTCTGAAGTAAATTTGAGGCACACGTGATGGTTGTCAAATACAACCAGAGGGATATTTGATTTTTCAAGGTCGCCCTCTGTCTGGTTATCGGGTGGTAAGTTCATTGTGCACCGTATATTCGCAGTTATAAATAAACTGATGCGTTCGGTTGCGTTAGGGGTAGGTTTTGGCGTTGTTGCTGCAAGGGCCATCGTCTATCGACGCCTGAATTACAAATGAGGCGTATATGTGCATATATAAATGCACCTATCAGTCATTAATTTGACTGGCAGTCGCACGCATCCAGTGTAATCTCCTATTGAAGCGACAAACAATTAATAATGCATTCGAATGAATGAATGCTGGAAAACGCTGTTTTCTCCTACTATTCCTTTTGCAACTCAGCACAATTGGAATTAGGGTGCATTGCAGACTTTTTGGGGAAGTCTTCGGGGCGAATACTCAAGAACGGCAATGCGCTCAAAGTTTTTTGCCCCGAAGAAATGCTAGCTGGGTAGTCTTGATCTTTTCCTGCTTCACTGACTAAATGTATTGCATTCATATAAATTTATATGGGATTTATCCTTAAATTGACTGAATGTCGCTATAGTACTTGTGCCATTCACATTTAACCACCGTACTTTTGAATTGTGTGATTAATTTTGCTACTATACACTACTACTTGCCGATAAATGTTGCTGCAACAATATTAGGGATCCAATTCATGCCTCTGCTTTTGTGTACATTTCGTTCCCTTGACATGTTTTCCTCCCTGGATAATATAAATTTATCACTAAGCTGATTATCAAAGTTCATTTCTAACTGACCTTATAGTGTTTTGACTTTTTTCCATATGCGTTGCGTTTATCTTTTGCCTCATTCAAAAAGGATAGTTGACCTAAACACATTATGGGACTGTATTTCTCTATTTTACAGGTCTTATAGCCATTAAGATTCTCATATTTCTTCTTGGGATTCTTTTTATCCACATTTATTTCGTGCTAACGTGAAATGAGTTTTCTTAAATGAACGCGTGTATGATAGTTTTTGTGTTCCTGATGCCAGCCTGTTAACTGAATGCCGAAAATAATGTATTTTTGAATGTTGCAATAAACTTCAAAATACATGTCCAGGTCCTTTTAATGTAGTCGTTATCTAATCCTCAGTGTAACTTCAGCTAATAGCTCATCCCATTAGTTGCATTGCAGTCGGTACACTGCTGAATTAGCAAGTTGTGTCGCATAATGATGCTGTCTAACTACTTAAATCGTAGCTAAAGAGGCAGATTTTGAATGAAAGTCGAAGTATTGTGAGAAGGAGATGTACGAAAGGAAATCAGTGTTCTTTTAAGGTGATTGTACTCTTCATTTTATCCCAAAAGTGTGATTATTCTTAATTTGAGTGGGCGCTTACAAAATAACGTATTTTCATCGTAACTAATCTAGTTGTTATCTACTTGACTAAAATTCATAAGTGGTACAGTGTGGTCAGTAATATCGAGGTTGGGCATAGTGCTAGGTAAGGAGGGTTAGTCAATCTATGATGTTTTGATGCTACATCAATTAAGATAGCTAGGACTCGTGTCACGCATTACGAGTCATCGCCTTCCTCTGTGGGCAATGTCAGCCGACATCGGGTTACGCTGTGAAGGAGTAATAGGTGGTGGAATCAAAACGAGGAATCATTCCATGAAACCTCTGACAGTAAGTTTGAGCCACATAGGGAGGTGCAGACTACCTAGTTGGGGTTTACATGATGCTGAAACCAATGAGGGGAGACAATCGTTTTCAATGTCGCAGATTCATTCACCTTTTATGGTATCTCATATGCACTAAGCTGTCATGTTTTTCTATGTTACTATTCTTTCTCCACCACATTTCTGCTTATTAGTTTCTGGATCCCTCTTTTGTCTACTTATGTGTGCTACATGTATTTTGGCGACTTAAACTGCTGCACTTCTGTGCTAAGTTGTACTTTGAAACTCATTCAGTCACAACTCGTAACTGATATTCGAAATCAAGTAGTTATCATGTTGATAATTTTCTGACATTTTTATAGTTTTTTTTACAAGTGTATACATTTTGACCAAGTTCTTTGATATTTTGCCAATTTATTTAGCACTATATTTCAGATAATTGTTTTAAATATCGTTAGTGAGAATTCTCAATTCTTTCGCTTTAAAATTTAGATTCACATGATTCCCAGTGAATCTTCATTCAAGTCAAAGGACGAAGCTAAAGCATTTCTAAAGCGTCTGTGTGATCAGCAGCTTACTGTTCATGTATCCGATGGTCGAAAGTATGTCGGAAACTTCTGGTGTACTGATAATGTTGGTAATATCGTAATGGGTTCTTGTAGAGAATATCCAAATCCATCTGATTCACGATTCGATAAGTTAGAAAGAGAACTTACAACTGTTGTCATTCCTGGACAGCATATTACAAAAGTTGAATGTCCTCGCAGTTTGTTGACAGATTGATGCATAATATAACATTTCTTTGTTGAATCGATTTCTGTTTTCTTTTTGCTAGTTTTTATTTGTTTTAACTTCCTATCTCATTTTCTCCCTTATCAACATATGAAGGTAGAGGTAATGCAAATATAGTAAGACAGAACATTATTTGCACAGCATTGAATTCATGTACATGCCACGACGAAGCAAAGAAATGGTTATAAAAGTTATTCTTGTTGTATCTGCCTACTGGTAAGGTGTCTTTTACCATGATAATCATCAAATTAATTTTTATTCCTTCTAGGTTTATTTCCATCTCCTTAGTATTTATCAATAAATGGTTATTGAGTGATAAATCTGTATCGGTTAGTATTTCTTTAAAATAATTGGTCAACAACCACAAATTCTTTTTATTAGCTCAAAGCACCTTTATTTATTACTTGGTTCCAATGTATAGTTACAGCACTGTTATGCTATTTAGCATCTTATGCTGCCCTACTGTTACCAAGTCGTGTAAAGTTTCCACAGTTGAACTTCTCCGTCAGAACATCTATTGAGGTAGGTTATACCTTGTCAATGAATTGATTGCCTTTTAGGTATTACCACTGTCCCTTATATTTGTTGCAATGGTCAGTTTCAATAATTTGTGCTTGAAGTATTTGAATGTTTCTTTTTACTTCTTGGCCCGTTCCCTAACTACCATCTTCAATGTCGTAAGTAATTTGTATATTAGTAGTAACCAATTAACAGTTTTTGCTTTAAAAAATTGAGTATATTATTCGTTTGCTATTTGTGTTGCTACTGATACGTAATCCATTGAATTTTGCCTTAAAAATGAAGCAAAAGATGTGCTATTTATAGACCTTTTATTTGACGGTTAAAAGTAATCGACTTTCACTGATTACCACTTTTCCTTTTTTTGTCTTTCCATTCTGCCCACCTCATTCAGATGCTAAAGCAAAGTTTGTTAATTCGGACCGCTGTAGAGTAATGTCAAACTGCGTTTGTGTTAGTGTTTGCTGTTAATTATGCATTTAGAAAACAGAAAGATTGAGCGAAGAAATATTTACTTTTCAATTAGATCCTCATCTCTGGCTCTACTCTAATATATATAAGCATTTTTATTACAATACACAACAGTTTACCAATCAAGTGGCGATATGTTTGTTTGTTGTGTATTGTAATAAAAATGCTATATATATTAGAGTAGAGCCAGAGATGAGGATCTAATTGAAAAGTAAATATTTCTTCGCTCAATCTTTCTGTTTTCTAAATGTCTAAATGGGGACTTTTTTCTATATTTATGCATTTGTTGATAGTATTTCCTACAAATGTTCTTGATCAGTTCTTTTAGATATTACACGTTTTTTATTTGTTTATTCTGAATTCTACATTTGACTTCACTTTACATTAAGTTGTTCAAAATATGCACTTGATATGTGTTGCATAAAAAGCTCGGTTTTCCTGCATGTGATCGACATCGGCCATATAATAATAATAATATACTTTATTCCAAAAACAGTACCTGTGATACAGAATAGAATTTTTAGCATTAATCACAATATTGCATCTAATTTCCTCAAATTATAAATAAAATTAATCACACAGAAAATTTTCCACATTTACAATAAGGGTAATGTCAAAAACATGCAGCATATAAAATGGAAATAATAATAATGATAACAGCTAAGGTAATAATAATAATACAGCCATAGAAACTGTTAAATCATTAGCGTAATTCACAAAGTTTATTTCATCAGAGTGAGGCAAGTCATGTAAGAAGAAAGAAAAAAGAAAAGGAGAAAGAACAGCACCTTGAGGGACACCAGCTTCAGTAGGCAATGAATTGGAAGACTTCCCTTTATACACGGTGTACTGCTTTCTTTCTGAGAAATAGGAATGCAACCAGTTAACAGCCCAACGTTCTGTTTGACTTGCAGCAAGTTTATTTAATAAGATGTCCCTAGGGACCGAGTCAAAAGCAGATGTATAGTCTAGGAAGGCACAACGAACAAATTTAGCCCCCTTGTCTAGACTGGAAGCAATGTTATAATATAAGACGGTAGCTGCATCTAAAGTGCTTCTACTGTGCTTATTGGCAAATTGTTTAGGCTCATTAAAGGATTTAAGTGAAGGTACAAGACTAAGTAAAAGTAATTTCTCCATAGTTTACAAAAAAGGAGAGGTAATAGCAATGGGTCTAAATGTGATACATGCTCCAGCAGATGATTTAGGTATAGACACAACTTGAATGTCCTTCCAAACGGCAGGCAAAATATTACTGGAAAAAGATTTTTTAAATAGATCAGTGAGAGGGTGACACAGAATATCAGAACATTAAAAAAAATAATACTAGGTACATAATCTGGACCTAAGCTCTGGGAAGGGTTCAGAGACTTGAGGCACTTTGATTATCATTTGTGTTAAAACCTGGAAAGCGGCTATTATTAACACTAGTGATGCTGGGAAGCATGGCATTTGAGGGAGAGTAAATAAAAGATTTATTTAGAGTACATACATCAAAAGAATACGGATTATTGTTTATCTGCTAACCACCAGTGATTTCCTTAAATAGTTTCCACATATTAGAAGCATATTTGCAAGATATGAATTTCTGGTTATATATTACATTCAACCTTCGCATTTCAGACTTGATAAGGAAGTTAGTTCTTTTTGCGCCACTTTTATCTTTCATTTTATATGGTTTTTCCTTCTCTCTACGAAGCTTTTTAAGTTGAGGGGAGGAGAAACGGTCAAATTGGACGAATAGTGTTTCTTTTGGACAGCAGATTTCAAAACACAATTTCAGATAAGATGTAATATTAGAGATAGTGTCATCAAGTGAATCATCATTGAACAGATCCCATCTTGTGTCACTGAGCATGTTTCTAAGATGATGTACATTCTCATTTGAGTAACATCTGTGAACAACTTTCTTGGACAAGTTTGAGAAGGCTTTATTGTGTAACTTCCCGTAAATTTTGGGTAAAACTCGTACAATACAGTGATCAGAATTGAAGAGCGGAGCTCTTTTACGAGCTTCGTATATTCCAGAATCATTTATAAATACTAAATCAAGTGAAGTATCTTGTCGAGTTGGGAAGTTAACAACATTTTCATGGCCCAGCAATGTAATAAAACTGTAGTCGCAGGAGTTGAAGTCACCAGTCACTACAGACAAGGAGTTACCAAACGAAGCAGCAGCAAAAATAGTGAATTCATCAGCGAAGATCGATAGTTCTGAGGGACTGCAACAAGGTTGACATAGATATTTGTGACAAAAATGCAGTTATACTTAGATAAGTGTTTAGGTCAACATTTAACAGTTATACAATCAATATTGTCATTTGAGAATTTGAAGCAGACGTTGTTGGCAGTAGACCACTGAGAATGAATAAAAGTGGCAACACCACCACCTCTCTTCTTCTTTGAGCTGCATCGGTCTTGTCTGTACATTGTGAAACCACTTAAGGAGACTAAATTATCGTCATATGAATCGTGGATCCAAGTTTCTTGAAGAGTAATTACACCAGTATTACAGTATACATTTGAGTGTGATAGAGAATGCAAGTAATTAATCTTGTTTGGTAGAGATCTGCAATTTGTGCTCATAATCACAGGAACAGTCATCAAATGCATTGGAGTAAGCTTTAAAGCTCGTTGCCATCCACCATGAGGCTTTTTCTTAAGTTTGTTAGAAACTAGTAAATCAGCCGGTTGGAAACGTTTTAAATAACCGCGAGAGTAAACAATACGATTAGGACACATTGAATGATTAAAATAAAATAAAACCGAGGAAATAGATGCAATATGTAGGATGGAAATTTTCGGTAGCTCAAGATTTAAGCAGGCCGCCACATATTAGTTATCAGGACCGACACGTGCAAGATCACTTACTATTTGTTACCAAGTCTTCCGAATGTTGTTCGAACTCGTCTCGTATGCTTTGTCGAAGAGCTCAGGATTTGACAAATCACCTCTAACCTCTGTTTTCAGAAGCTCGTCCATAATATCTCTTTTCCTTTACCAGGACAAGTTTAATATACAAATTCGCTGTTGAATTTGCTCTCTTCACTGTTACTCTTCACTCCTTTCATTCTTCCATTATTTTTTTCACACTTCAACTTTCTATCTACTTCCTCCTAATTATTATACATATTTTTATAAGATTTTGAATAAACGTGGTTACTGGCCTATCTAATTCCCTTACATGGTTTCCAGTGTTCTTATTAACATCTGCATTAATTACCATCACTTTTGTTAATATTATTGTCGTCATCATAATAAATGTTTTCACTGCTAAAAATTGTATGAATTACACTAAACATCTGACTCAGTCTTGACTTCCAGCTGAAGTGTAGCGGTTTCAAATTCTGCTACATTAACTTTGATCTAAGCCGCTGGTAGTGTCGGGTAGCTCTTAACTCGGTTAACTGAGCTGTACTCATTAGATCAATATTTTACACTTAATATTGATCCGCGTACTGAGGTGATTGATATATCTTTATATATATATTTGCAACTGTATTTGTTAGTTAAAAGAGAATCGAAATCAATACCATATTATTCATTTAAATATCTTCTACTAACTTCTACTTTATAAAGGCTACTCAGGTTTCTTTCAGTAATGCATCTGTCTAATATTTCGAGTTTCATGGTCAATTAGGGTATTATTTTATTTTGTGTGCATTTGTGTGGTTTTAAAGGGTTGAATAGTGTACTTAATTACTTAGAAGATGGTGTAAAAAAATACTTCTACATTTTAAAGTAATTTCATGAACCATTTCGAAATTTCGCCTACTTCATTTGTACTAGCCTGGAGTTCATTGATTTTGATTAATTTCTATCGTCTCCATTTTATATAGATTTTCACCTATCTACTGTTGAATACAAAGACTTCAACCAAAGCAATGCTTTGTTGTGCTGTAATTATCATTGGATATTGTGGTGGTGTAATTATCGAAGGCAATTTAGGTTAGTCATTTTCATCGTCTTATTCATCAATGGAATTTATGTTATTTTTGCTATGATTAAACATTTCTCGAATTGAGCATATTTCAGTGTGTACAGCCCATTATTAGTCCGTTAAAATTTCATTGAGTTTCGATAAAAGAATCCGAATTGTACCGTTTAAGACGTTTGCTTCACAGCATAAATACTTCTGAGAATTTTATACTCTTTAGACAGCATCCTAGAATTGTTAGGAATCCATGATTGAAGGCTTTTAGTGACATTGAATAGGGTAGGGGGATCACTGCTGCATAGACGTATGCCCCTCTTTATTACCTTCGAAATTCACATGTTTTCATTAACGTTTGTTTCAGTATACTCATCCTTTTATTCATTTTAATATTGTTATTTATGTGTTGTTGAATTCCAATTTGTATGCTATTTTAAAGTCTATAAATATCTGACAACTGAGAAATTCGTTACTGATAATATAATGGAACTGCACTTTTATTGCTGTTGCCCATCTAGTGCTAGGCTTACCAACACTTATTACTGATGAAAGAAAAATTTATGCCCTTTGCGCTGATAATAATATTGCCTAAATGATTCCATTATTGAGTGAATTCTTCTCATTAATCTACAAATAAATTGCTTTTATATCCATTTTTACTTAATTTCTGCGTGTATTCATCACAAATTCTGTACAACCACTTCATAATTTTTCACCGTCGTCTGAACCTAGTGGATTTTTGTTGTAAATTAATGGTAACCATTGGATTTTAATGGTAAATTTCTTAACAGTATTGGTTATCAAAGTGTACAGTATATTTAAATTATGAAATACAAGACATATCTAAATGTTTTATGCGTCGGTGGCACAGAGGCTAGGACGCTCGTCGACCATGTAGTCGGCCCAGTGTTCGATTCCCGGCCGACGCACACCTGATATCAAGGGACGGCCTGCAAAATTTGGGCTACCAATATCACATAGTGAAAATTTCATAGTTGTACCAAAAATACTGTGTGGAAAGAACTCAAATAATGCTTCCCAGAGTTGGTGAAAAGGTAACACCGCAATACAGAACAAAGTGAATACATTTTAAGTGGATCACAGTTTAACACTATTACTGAATGTTGTTCTTTAAGAAACACGAATAGAGAGATATTTCTGTATAGAATTACCTTTCGAAGTTATATGGTACACTTGTTAGTAAGCATGCTATAACAGTCAAATTACCAGTTTTTCCCTATAAGCATATAAATAATATTGTAATTGAATGAGCTTAAACAAATGTTTGCTTTACATTCTAAATGCTCGTTTTCTTGTCTCATGTATAGCTATTTTTTTACTAGTGTAACTGGAATTATTATCATGTGTTTACTTTCACACATATTCAGGTTCTTTAAACTGGCTTGGCTTGATATTCGGTATCGCATCCAGTGTTACTTGTGCATTAAACTCTATCTACACAGCCAAGTGTTTACCAAAAGTCGAAGGAAGTGTATGGCGACTAACGTTCTACAATAACTTAAATTCCATATTTTTATCAATACCAATCATTGGTGTCTTGGAGTATGTACCAATCAAAGAGGAATTATTTAATACCGGGTATGCATACAATGTGATTCTTTTCGAATGTCTACTTCTATAAATTTGACAATAAATTAAAGTGTATAAGAAGTTGACTGTACACTTAACTTGTCCAGTCTATAAAATCATTTTTATGCACAGCTTTCTGTAAGCACCGATTTGAAACATGTATGATGTTTTTATTTTACTGTGTCTTGCAGGATGGCATAATCATGCGAACCTCCCAATGTAGCTGCGTACAATTTCTGTAGAGTTTTACAGGGGAATTAAGCGGTTGTTTCTTCATATATGAGAATTTATAGGCAAATGTGACTTACTTCTACTCTATAAGTTTCTAAAAAGGTTAGAATTAGTCTAAAATTCGAACCCACAGATTTACTATCATACGAACTCTCTTGATAAGACCGATTTCATTAGACAAGACAGTTACATCTGTCGAATACAATGCCATAACTGCGATGTTAGATATGCCGAACTTAGGTACTGTTGATATAGAAAAAGTCGAATCTGAAATATAGGAGATTATCTATCGTTAAGAATGACAATTGAAATAGTATGGTATTCTTCGAGTTATGATATTCTATCATTGACGTTTTTATCACAATCTTTGGTGAAATCTTCAGCACTGAATTCATGAAGAAGTAATGTGTATTGATTAGGTGTTGTTTTCCTTTCCCATAACCTTTATCCGATTTAAAATTATGGGAAGCGATTCTTCGTCCTATAACTCTTAGGTCTTAAATTCCACTAGATCACATGAGAATTCATTATTTTTAGCAATGTAATTCTGAGCTGTCAACTAATGTCTTTAACTTGGTTGAGTTTCGGTCGATTGGTTGAAGAGTGATCGTTCTTTCATCTTTCTGAGTGAGTAGTAGATTGTAGATTGGATCTATGTCAAATGGCCACATGAATGACTGTCTTGCATCTAAACATTCTCTTGATTCTTTCCAGTTTGTACGTTGTAATTTACGAGTATTCTGCTAGTCGAATTTGTGCAGGTAGTCATCTACTGTATGCATTGAGACCGTTTTCATGTTCCATGATGAGCTTAGTGTTTTCACACACACTATTAAAATGTGCAAGCAAGAAGTATAAGAAGTGCTTTAAATTCGTCTCATAGGATATATGTATCATGTACCCATCTAGAATGGAATAAAGTTTCGTCAAATGAGTCTTTTACACCACCTTGGTAACTTAGTTTTCTATTACTTAGAAATCATCTGCTTGCATTTCCAACTTTTCACATTTTGTTCATATATACTTGTTATCTTCAACAAATTTGTTTCCAATTAGATTTATATTACATTTATAAAACTTTCATATAATATGATAACGGGATCTCAGATTGAGTGGTTTTTTTTTGTATTTTGTATGAAATTATTGACTTCTACCAATATTTTGTTGTGTGATGTAAAAATAATGTTATAGGTTGTAGACAACTAAAGAGAACCGACGAAATGAAATGGATCAATATTTTTTGCTCTCTATCAATTTATCATAAAGTGGAGTCAATCCAAAGTGTAGATTACTTAGTATCGATTTTATTATCTGGTATCATGTTTGTATTTGTTTGTCTGTATAGTGTATTGCGAATACCAACATATCTGACTATTAATCACCTCCATACCAGGTTAACTAATCTTTGTTCATTGTCACAAAATTGTTATTTGAATACATACATACTCTAAGATTGTGTTTAACAGTAACAGAATAGCACACCTAAACATCGCATAGATACTGAACAAGAGTAATCTTGATAATGGTGATTTGAAAATTGAGCTTTATAGAAAACGAGTTATTGGGAAGTCAAAGTGTTCAATAGTTACTTTGTCAGTTGTAAATTCGGCGTATAGTAGTGTCTTACTCTTACTGTGTATTTTTTATCAGCATTCTCCGTCGACTTCATTTGATGTTTAATATAAAGTCAGCATCTTCTAGTGTCGTAACTTGATGTGCTTATCACCATCATTATTGACTTGGTTGTGGTTCTAGATGCTGAGACTTAGTTTAACTGTTTTTATTGTAATTCAGTTGGCTTAGTAGATATCTGGAGTTCGGCTGATGCACTACTTATTCTAAGACAGATGCATAATATGTATGCGATAATCATGATTATTTCTAAAGTCAACTGAACTCACCATTAACCTTAAGATTTCCAGGTTTTGCACTCCAGGATTGCCTACTGTCTTCTCAGTGGATACCATTTTTTGATTCATGATTGTTCACAAAAACAGTTCAATGCCAGAATAAATTAGTAATACTTCGTTCTAGTGTAATGTGGTCTATATTTTTCTGATATATAATCCATAACATTTTCTAAAGAATAATAATTTCCACCGTTTTCTTTTTCTCCTTTCAATATAATGTTTTAGCCTGTACTTCTGGTTTATTATGCTTATCAGTGGGATATTCGGTTTTGCGATTGGCTATGTGAGTACACTGCAGATTCAAGTGACTAGTCCGTTAACTCACAATGTTTCTGGTACAGCTAAAGCAGCTGCCCAGACAGTATTAGCTGTGATTATCTATCATGAAGTTAAATCAATATCATGGTGGCTTAGTAATGTTGTTGTCTTGGGTGGATCTGCATTGTATGCAGCTGTACGACATTCAGAAGGCGGACAGAAGTTGAAGACAACGGCAGATGTGATTCAAACCAATGATCCGTACGGTGATGTAGAAGAAAGTAAACAAAGCTTAATCAATAATCTTGTCACTAATACTACTGATGATGATGACAATGATAATCATCTGTTTGATCGAAATATCCTACCTTCATCACAGATATCATCGGTTTGAAATTATTCTTCCAACTTTTGTATGCGTGGATTTCTGTGTTATTGAAAGTTAAATAAAATAATAAAATTATATATGGCTGTGATAAAGAATAAATCTATGTTTAGGAGTACTTTGAGAGTTTTGTAATTATTCAGTGATCAAATGATGATTGAAGTTGAGACGAATATGAGGCTGGTTACGTAACACCAACCAGTCGGTTAATGAAGTGATTGTCTACCAAATGAACTACGGTGCTAATCACATTCTGATTTCTTAGCCCACCAAAGTAAGTTTATCTTGGATGGTCTCAACAGCCCAGTGATTGTAGTAATGATGGGATTCTCTAGTTGAATGTCATTTAGTTTGAGAGAGATAGAGAATAATGAAACAATGGTTAGTTTCGATATAACCAGTCTTTATTCTAATATACCAATCAATTTGGCATTAGAAGCAGTTAAAAAAGAACTAATTGCAGACCCTGAACTCACTTATAGGATGAAACTACCCATTGAAGAAATTATTTTAGGGATTCAGTTGTGCCTCACATCTACTATCTTTAAATTCCAAGGCAAAATATATAGACAAACTGAAGGTGTAGCAATGGGATCACGAATATTCCCTATCGCAGCAGATATATTTATGGATAGCTGGGGAAATATGGCTCTTAATACGTTTAATCCTACTCCAAAAATATGGTGGAGATATGTGGATGACACTTTCACTCACAGTATTAAAAACAGGAAATATCTCTTGCTTCTTAACACACATAAACTCACTAGTGGAAGGAATAAAATTCACATTTGAAGCCGAAAATGAACAAGGAGAATTAGCTACGTTAGATTGTAAAATAAAACGAATAGAAGAAGGCAAACTACACACTAGTGTTTATAGAAAACCAAGGCATTCTAATAGATATTTAGACTTTAATTCATCTCATCCTTTAACTGTTAAGGCAGGCTAACAAACCGAGCAATGGCACTAAGTAGCACAAAAAAGACCTTAATGATGAAATAAAACAGATAGAAGAGGCGTCGGTGTTAAATAACTATCCTTTAAAATTCATTAGGAATATTGAAAAAGGCCAAAGGAAAAAGAATTGTGAAACTAGTAATAATAACATAAATAAGAGAGAATATAAGTCACCTACAGTTATACCATATAAAGAGGGGACATCTGAGACCCTACGTAGGATTCTAAATAAAGCAGGAATTAGGGTGGCATTTAAACCTACAAACTCACTCAGGGACAAGCTCTGTAGGTTAAAGGACCCAGTGGACCCAATTTGACAAAATAATATAATTTACAAAATACCCTGCAATGACTGTGAGGTCAACTACATAGGTCAGGGGTAGTCAGATTGTCGGAACATAAGAATTTAGCTAAGGTAAGAATAGTTGACCCCGAGAAGATAAGTAATTTAGAAAAAAGCTCAGCAATTGCAATGTATGCATTAACACATAACCACACAATAGGGCGGGAGAGGGTTAAAATTCTAAAAAGTAATCTAGGTAGGTGGAGAGAGAGGTTGATTACTGAATCCTTGTTCATCGAATCTACACCCAACACATGCAATAGGAATGATTCATCACTCATACCCGAAATATTGAAGATACTACTACCAATCAAATCAAGTGAAAAACAACGGAATTATATAAATGAATTTAGGAAGTCGTGTGATTACCTTGATATGATTATGAGCAATAAATTGTGCTCGAAACGTCATCAGTAAACATTACTGTATAACACTGTGAGACTTTATCAGAACAAAATTTACCCATCATGGAATTTTTGAGTTTATATTAGCTTATTTAAAATAATAATCGAAGTTGAAAGTAAGGCTTATGTTATCAGACCAATGGCATGCTCTCTAGTTGTGAATGCTTGTCAATTTTTATCCCTCAGCTTTGCACATAAACCGTTTAACAGATTTCTACAGAAACAGTACTTAGTTCTGTATTTCTCGGTGGCTGTATTCAATGACTAAAGTTAAGTTGTCTTATGGAATCTAAACTACAACTATATACGTTGCATAAGTTAGAAATTGTCTTTCACTCTTACACTCATCATAGCTACAATTTTCTTCACTATCGGTGGTTTATTCCTTAACCATGCAATATCTTGATTTTCCACGATAGCTAAAATTTTCTTGTCCAACTTCACACATTCCTACAGTTACTTGAAAATTAGTGGCGATACATATCAGAAGTTACTATTATTACAATAGTGTATGTGAAATTAATTGAAGTTCACAATATATTTATTTATAACCTGCTCAGGCTGTTCATCAATAGAATGGAATTTAAAAATACAAATATTTTGTATGTTAGTAACCATTGTTTGTCATATTGTTTACTGTTACCATCATCTAAGTTCAACTTCTCCAGTTCACCATAGTTACTGGCTACATTTATATGTATATGTAACTGTGTATGAGATATTTTGAATTTTATGTATTCCATAAATGAATCAATAGTTGCCTGATCGCTTATGAGTATAATTTGTGTATGCTTTTTAAGCGCTCATAACTAAGTAAGTAAGTAGCTGTAGTCATTAATGTTGGTGTGTGTGTGTGTATATACAAATTAGTCCTCAATGATTGGCGAATATGAAGCGCATTCATTTTTGTAATGATTAAAATGTTAATTACCTTTTGAATGTTTCTGTGCTTGTCATTTTAAATACATGCAATTTGAAATTTAGATTTTAATATAATATAGGAAGGATGTCTGATGGTTGTGGAAGGAGATTAAGCCACATACGTTATGTTGTCTACCCCAATTAATATGGCTTGATGAATGATTTATGGCCAGTGATATTTTCACGCCTTCGCTAATTCTACCTCCAGTGTTATCACCTATGTCTTGTGCACATCTCTTTCAATGATTCCCATCTTTCGTATTCTTCAATTTGCCACTGCAGCGTATAATTTTCTCTCTGAGAAATGTTTCAACCAGTTCCCTTTTTGTAGTTAATTGTGTAAACCCACAAAAAATCAAATAAACGCTACTATATGTGCTTTCTTGGTGAATGAATTTTTAAAGCCTTTTATCAATTTTACTTTGCATAGTCAAACAAAATGGTATAGTTTGTATATTAGTTCATCTTTTGTTATTTATTATTATTGTTTCCTTTAATTCCTAGAGGAACATAGGGCTTCAGCCTTGCGTTCGGTTCTCTGTTAGAGTCTTCACCTGGCTCCAAGTCTGCCCACACGCTTTCATCTCCTCTTCACATGACCTCCTCCAAGTCACCCTTACACTGACGACCAACTCGCCGCTTCCCTTTCGGGTTCCACTCAAGCAATGGCTTGTCTAGTGATGTCACTTGATGGTTTCCTCAGAGTATAGCCAATCCATCTCCATTTCTTCCTGCCTATTTGTTTCACAATCGGTTCCTGGTTGGTTTGCTCCCAGAGATCCCTATTGCTGATCTTTTCTGGCCATCTGATCTTGAGTGGATTGAGCGAAGACAACTGTTAATGAAGGTCTGTAGTTTGTTTGAGATGCTCTTTATGACACGCAGTGCAAGTCTCTGATCCGTATAGTAGCACTGACTTACTTCACATTGGAGTTGAAAATCCGGATCTTATTTTTGATGCTGATTGCTGTTGACGTTCACACAGACTTGAGAGTAGTGAAAGCTTGTCTTGCTTTTCCGATTCTTGCTATGATATCCTCGTCAGTTCCGCATGTAGTTGAAACGATGCTTCCCAGGTAGGTAAAAGAGTCTGTTTCTTTCTTTTGTTATTTACTTTGTCCAGATGAACGACTATGATCGTTTCAAAATGTGTATTACTTTTTGTAGCATACAAATGTATATGAGCGTTGTTCATTAAATCCTATATATGGCATTATTGAAAAACAGAAGGTGAATGACTTTTAAATTTAATATTATGCTTCGTATAATAATAGTTAATGACTAGAATACTGGAATTTCAATAGAATGTTAAATTTCACAAGAATTATTGATTTTTCTGTATTAACGTTAGCATTAGTGCAAAAGTTATCCGGAGAAAAGTCTTTAGAGCGCACTTATCTCTAGGTCAGGAACGTATGATTAACAGGCATTTTTTATATGTTCAAATTAAGAAAACAGAGAAGAGATAATGATTAACCGACCGATAATCATTTTACGTAGAATTTTGCCTTTTATTATTTTATGTGTTGATAGATGTACTTAATTTTGCTACTTATTTTTAAACATACTATGCTCTTTGGTTTAATGATGAGAATGGTTTACTCAATTTAAGATTATTCAATGAAGTTATGCATGAAGCTAAATTGATAACTAAACTTAATTTGGTATGTCAGCATTACTCAGTTCAAAGTCTGAATAAAAAGTGTTCAAATGACTACTATCCTCGGTTAGAATAGGATACAAAATGATCACAAATGTTTTATTCTTTTAGGCCTATTGAAATGCAATCGATTACTCTCCTTTGTATACTCAACAACAAGTTGTCAGAAGAAACAGTGAATACAAGACTTCAAGTAAACGTAGAGAAGACTGAGGTGATGAAGATAACCAATCAACAACAACAACAACGACAACCAGCATCAATCATTATCAACGGGAGAAATATAAAAGGCAGTCACTCCGTTCACTTATCTAGGCAGCCTCGTTTCAACTACAGGCGGCATGAATGAGGATGTCAAAACTAGAATTGGAAAGGCCGGGAAGACCTTCATCACTGTGAAATCAGTTTTGAAATCCTCTGCACTCAGCATTAATAACAAAATTCGGATTTTCAACACCAATATTAAGTCAGTCAGTTCTTCGATATGGGTGAGAAACTGGGCGCTTCAAGGAAAGCATCTCCAACAGGCTACAGTACAATTTTATCAACGGCTGACTTCTCTGGCTCCATATTGAAGATCCAATGACTAGAAAGAATTGGCAATAAGAAACTTTGGGGACGAACTAACCAGGAACCTATTGCTCAATGAATATGTGAGAGAAAATGGAGATGGGTTGGGCACACGCTGAGGAGACCGTCGAATGACATTCAGAATGAGTTTTAATCCTCGTTACTCTAACAGTTATGTCATCAGGTGTCTTTTCTCAGTATTAATGAAAACAAACACGTAGATCAGAGAAGAGTCTCTTTTCGACGAATTCATTTTCTTAGCT